CTGGACAGTATGAAGGCACTGACAGCTGCTATTGAGGCTGCCAATGCGCAGATCCATGGCCCTGCAAGCCAACATGTAGGGAACAATACTGCCACTGTCACCACCACCACAACCATTGCCACTGTTGCAGTAGAAGATAGGAAGAAGGACCACTTCAAGAAAAACAGATGCTTATCTATTGGAATACAGGTACAGTACATGACATGGATTATATGCTTGCCATTGTTTTGGATTCCTGCGTCTGTTTTACTGCTCATTATACAATGTTTTGTATATTTTTCTTCTTGTCCTGACAGGTACCTATGTAGAACTTGCACCAGCATAATCATTCTGCATGGTACTAATGATGTTTTCCTAATTTATCATAAATATACATCAGATGCAAAGATTTGTTTGAGTCTCTGAGCTGCTTGTTATTCAGCTCTGTTAAATTACACACATGAGCACTAATCTATGAATCATAACACAGCGGGGGTCAGAAAGGCATGAATTAAATCATTGAAAGGGAATGTGTAAAACAATGATTTACATTACACTATCACCAAAAAAATATTTTCATCCAGCTTCACTGAATTAATTGTTGCTGCTTATTCATGCATTTCATAATGACTGGTAGCCACTTGAATGAGGCAGCATTGTTCATATCTCAGCCTCAAGAACAGAAGAAAAGTTCCTTCTGATTTGCCCTTGTTAAAGAAAATTACATTTTGTTACCTCTAGTGGAATGAAAGAAGAAAACTAACCCTGCCGGAATTCATTCAGATTTACAGAAAGGACAAGAGTAAATAAACTACTCTTGTTGTCTACTTTCTTAATTTGTCTTTCCCACCCCCTACTCCCCCTGCAAAAAAAGATCTGCATAGAGCTCCCAACTATATGTTTGCAGGATTAGCTTTTGTAACAAAGTGCTTGAACTTAAAATCAACTGAGAATCAACACAAGTTTTGACAGGAGATGAATCTCGAGCAAATAGAATAGCAATCCACAGCTTATCAGCCTTACAGGAAGACACAATTTTTTTTCTTGCAGAAGGTGGTTGTAAGCACAGCACTGTGTGCCTGGACAGGCTTATCTGATTAGTAAACTCTAAGAATTTACCATGAAATCTCTACATCAGCCTGATGAGAGAGATGAGAGGTGCTGTACTGAAGTAACGCATCCCAGGGGTAGCTGCTGGAGAAGCTGTGACTTTTCTCTCAATTCTTCTTGGAAAGACAATAATAACTATTGTCTGTGGGTTCAATTCACTGCCTTTGTTGTAGACTTTTACTGCTTCACAGCTGTTTGTTTTGGGTATATTCTGAAAGAAGGGCTGATGTTCAGTGTTAAACACAGGAGAGAGATTCAGGTGGGACAGGGATAGAGAAAAACTCCTCTGTAATATATTCTCATTCCCAGCCAAGCCTAAAATGCCATTATATTATTGTAATCCCTTATTTCACCAATCCAAGAAACCAAGATTCTTAGCAAAAATCCTGCAAAGCAACGGGTACAAGAAAATAATTTCCATGTTTGCAGAAGCCAAAATGAACAATGGTAATGTGAATCACAGTTCTTGAGAGACCATCTCCCTGCTACCTCTTCTTAAGGTAGTATTGCAAGTATCAAATGCTGCTTTTGAAAGGTATAGAGGCCTCAGTTTCCTGAAATCTGAGGAAAACAGTGCTCCATATGCTCTTCAAGCTTTTGACAATCTCCCTCTTAAACTTTGAAGTTTACCGATGACCAGTAAAATCACATTAAATAATCATGACATCTGGGGATGGTACGTGAGAGTCTGCCGAGGCAGGCTTTGTGAACAAACCAATGAAGATGTGGTACAAACCACCTGAAGCTGGGATGACATGAAGTGAAACCTTCAGCAGTGATGCAGCCTTACAGGATTCCTGCCTGTGCGCGGTGCCACCCTCACAGCTGTGCACATCAATGAGCTTTTTAAAGTCAGACAGGCTTCACAGATAAAAGAAACCTTTTCACTAGTCTGCTGTCTGATCCATTTTGCAGCATCGTTGCACAAGCAGTCATGCTGGTGCAGCTGAAGGGGTGGTGTGGGAGTAGAAATACCTTAAGATAGGTGTTGATGCCAGAAATTACTTTTCTTACAAACAACTAAAGGAGGTAGGTATGCTGTCAGTCCTCTGACTGGCAGCAGAGTCAGTCTCTCTTCACTGAGTAAAGGGAGCCTAGTTCAGGCTTAGTTTGAACTCAGACCAAGTATACACCTTGATGGTACTTCAACCCATCTTTGTAGAGCAGGACAAGCTGCAACAGCCACAAGTATATTCTTGGTTTTTCTTCCTCCTCTGCCAAATAAGGCTAGTGTGCACTTCTGGTGAACCTCCATGTGTGTCCTCTACACTCCTCAGTCGCTCTTAGGACATTGCAAGCCTTTGCTGTAAATCTGCTGAGCAAACAAGCAAAGTCAAGCAAAGAAAAGCCCTTCCATCAAAAGGTTGCTTCACTCTGTCAGTTATGGGATTTAAGGTGTATTTAACTCCCCAGAAGCCCCAGTGTCAAGGAAGCACTTCACCTCACAGAACGGCTTCTGTAACTCCCACCCCTCACTGAGCACTTTTCCTGCCCAGGTTGGTCAAGTGGTTCTCAACAAGAAGTTGCTGGAACAGCCACTACAGCTGGATATTTTGCACACCCATGGCCAGATTGAGGCTACAGGTCACTTCACGACACTGCTACGGCCCAAAAATTCTGTCTGCTGGAAAATGTTTTTCTTGTATGCTACCCATTCGGAATTAACAACTACACCGACTGGATCCAGAATATTGTGATTTTGTTCAAAGACACATCTGTGGTTAAATTTTAACTTTATGCATTAGTACAAATCTCCTTATGGAGCTGGAGCTGGAGATGTGGCATTAAGTTCCAGCCTGTGCTCCTGAGGACCACCTGTTTGCAAGATGAAGCAATAAAGAAAATGCATCTAAGACTCATGTCTGCTGTCTTAAAATCTTTTCTCTGCAGTGCTCTGATTTGAGGCAGTAACATTTAAACAAAATAAACACCTGATTTTGATATGAGTTCACATACACATGCACATACAGATAGAAGGTAAAATCAAATGGTGAGGCACAAAACCTGGAGTTTCAGCTGCTCAGAGATGTGCTCTGACAAATGTGAACACCCAGCCTCTATAAAATACCAGATAAAATCCATCTGCATGCTGCAGGCTGAATATTGTCTTACCAGAAATGCTTTATAGATTAAGAATAATGAATATTCAGCAATAACATCAGAAAAGAGCACACCACAGAGAAACTGACTAAATGAAGGAACTCATGGTACAAGCCCTGTGTGCAGACACTCAGTAGTAAAGGTGCATAGAAACTGCAAGTAGCCAGCTGATACCTCTGCTAAAATACATTCTAATGACCTGTCATGTTTTGGGGTTTTTTTAAGGTTGATGGTGCTGAAGAATCCACCATACCAGGTGATAATAAAGCAACCAGTAAGTTCCAGTCCATAGGAGTTCAAGTAGAGGAGGAGAAGTGGTGAGTAAAAGTTAATACTGTTTTTCTAAAGTAAATAATTATGCCACAACTAATTTTTAAGAGCCCTAGTTCCTGCACACATGACCACATAAACCTGCTTCCTGGATGAATTGTTAGATCACCCGGCTGAGAAGCTGAGTCTTATAATTGTTATAGCTCTTGTTTTTCAGAGAAGATTTTTCAGGACCAGTGAGAAAAATGGAAGAGAAGTGCCACATATATTGAGGTCTCATATACTTTTAATAATCTCTTTTTCCCCAGAAAAGCTGCCTAAACAGTGGACAGTGTTGCAGCTGGAGTATTAGTATTGGGATGGCTGCAGCAGCATAGAACTGATGAGGGAAAGTTCACCTTGTTTTTCAGCAGAATAATTTCAGCCACATGTAGCAGTGCAATGGCAGAGCCAAAACTGAAAGCTTTTTCTCAGGTATCTCACCCAGACATCTCTGCATTACAATTGCTCCCTTGCCAAAAAATTGCTGAGAAAGCAAGCCTGTAAAACTCTGTTCTCCCTACATTCTGCAGTATATCCTAAGTTAGTAAACAAATATTCTCCAAGGAAAAAAAATTCAAAAGAGAAAATAAACTATAGCAGCTGTCTTAAAGCTGTTTCTTTTCTGGTGACAAATGTACAGGTACATTGCAGGGCAGCATAACTGTGCATAACACTTGGGACACATAAACTTTTTGAGTGCATGGCCACAACTGCAAATCTTATTTCCTTCCCAAAGTAGCTTTCCTTCAGTGGCTGAAGAAAAGCCAGACTCTCCCCTTGCCTTTGAGTGTGCAGGCCTGCCCAGTGTTGCTCTGACTCCAAGCACCCACACAAGTTTGCTTCTCTTTTCTCAGGCCACCTGGGCACGGTGTGGCTTTTGGATGTTGGAGCCAAACTTGATAACTCTCAGTACCCTCCTGTGTCACAGGCAAAGCCCCGGTGCAGTATGACTTGTCAGTGAGGGAAGTTATCCTTGTAATTTCTCCAGAAAAAACATGGGTGCAGCAAATCTGAGCTGATAAAATTCAGGCCCTTTCCCCTTCTCTGGCCTGCTAACTGCAGGAGCCAGTGGAGATGTCCATTTTCACACCATTTTTTTCCTACATCTGCTAAAAATATTAAAAAATAGCAGGTGTATCTACACTATTTTCAATTCAACCAAATCTCCCTGTAAAGCAGCAGAGCATTTTCCTGTGGTTTTAAAAGGCTGAAGTGATTTCAGCAAAAAGAAATGTGATTTTGCAATGACCCTGCTAGGCTGTTACCAAGTTCCTCATTAACCTGCTAAAACATCTCTTGCTGGCAGACATTTCTTTATGTGTTAGACCTTAGCCCCATTTACCCTCAACTCCTCCAGCACTAGATAAATGAGCACATTAGAATGGATGCTGAAGGACCATTTCACTTCAGCCTGGGCACAAAGGAAATAAATACCCCAAAAGCCCAACCCTCCCCCTCCCCGCAAAGAAAGAAAGAAAGAAATGGCTGTTTGTAAATACCTTACTTCCAAAGTCTTCTTTCTACGGCAGTTTTTATTGCTCCAGAGAAAAAGGTAAGATTTGCCTGTGAGAGTCTGCCCTGAGAAAGCAATATTTCTGCATTACTTACTGACAGCAGTGTTTGGGGGTTTCCTTACTGATAAAGTTGAGGTTGCTGCTGTGTGGAGCAGACGGGGAAAGCAGCAATCTATCATGGACTTTCAGAAGTGAACTGGCTGATAAAGGACAGCCCCTAATCCTTAGAAAATGAGTGCACTCAAGACACAAAGGGCTTATCATCACAGCTGGGCATTCATACTCTTTTTTTTTTTTCCATAACACAGCAGAACACAATGTATTGATTATCTGTTACAGGAATAGAATTGTAAATACAGTACATTCTTCACCGTCCCTGCTCCATAACATCTGCAAAGCCTAAGAAAAGCCCATTTTAGCTCAATCTTTGAAAAATTAATGTTTTTTAAAATATTCCAGAAATACTAAATGTATGTAAAATGAGAAGAATGACACAGCAGGAAGGATAAATACAGTAAATTGATCATGTTTCCTTGACAGTCTAAGCTATTAATTACACTGTTACAAAACAATAAGGCTCTTTGCCTAATGCATCAAAAGCCTACCACAACTTTCAGTCTTCTTCATGGCTTCCTGCTCTTTCCTTCCCCTTTCCTTCACCTCATAGGATTGTGATCCTCACACTAGGCAGTCTTACCTCCTCATGTCCTTTTAAATATTCCTTCTTCTGTGTTTGGACCAGGTAAGCAAAATGCTTTGCCTCCATTTCTTGGTCTAACTAATTCAAAAACGAGCATCTTCACAGGACAGCTCTCTCTCCTCAGTCTTCCATCTCACCTCAGACCTTTCATTGGCTCTTCACTTTCTCATGGGCCTCCTGCCAAGACAAATGCCTCAGTCCTCCTCCTCCTTCTCTTGTACTGCTCGAAGGATAAATGTGCTTCCTGCTACCTGACCACATTACGACTGGATCCATTGCTGCTGTTTATCTTATCCTCAGTTTTTATGCTGGTTCTCAATAATATTTTTCATACCCATTCCCTAACTGCAGCTCTGTGATTTCTAGCATTTATAGAGTAACTCTGTCCAGTCATTCTCTTGGAGAGAAAAGGCATTTCTTTCAACCTCATGATCTTGCTGCTGTTAATCTTTTATCTCTCACCTGACCTTCCACATGATGCTGACAAAACCCTAACCAAAATGTTCTTCCCTTTTTCCTTCCAGGGCAGTTTTGAAAAGTGTATCTAATGAAACTCATTCATGCAATCTCAGGACACTTCAATTTCTGTCCATTTCTGTTTGTCCTTTCTTTCTACATGTAACTTCTTCATGACCTCAAGGGACCACCCTCCTCACTTACAGAAGATAATTGAGTTGTTAAAAGTCAACCAGTTCTACTGAAGCAGAAAAAAAAAAGAAATAATTTATTCTGGCAAAAACAATTAGCATACATTCTTCTTGAACAAGGGGTTTTCAGTTCTATAGCTCTGTAATCAGTTTTAGTCTCTCTTGCAATTTATCTTGCCTGCCCCAAGATCTCTTCCTATTACATTCTCACCTCCAAAATGGTCTCGCTCATTGTTCTAGATGTACCACCAGCTGGTAATTGTACCTGATGTGCCATCACAAGAATTTTTGAATACTGAAACAATGGTAGTTTCTGGAGGAAGAGCACTGCCATAGCAGACTGCAGTAGACAGATGATCATTCTCCCTCTTCTCTGGTTTCTGGGGCACCAAGGAAGGTCCCCTCATATCTTGATGTACAAAAGTGTGTCTTACCACAAGATACACAAAGTACATCCTACCACAGCACACGTCTTGATATGGTATGAAGTGGAATAATTTGAAATAGCAATATGGTAGCATAAAGCAAACAATCAAACAAAAACCCTGTGCTGTCTCCTCCAGGAAAAAAAATCCTCACATCTTTGGATTTTGTTACTATATAAATTCATATTTTTCTGTTTTCCTGTAGGTTTTTGGGTTTGGTTACTTACTGTCCAACAAAAAACACTCAGGTTTTGTGTTCTTCCCTAACTCTAACTCAAACTTTTCAACACTGTACTCTTTAGACCTTTCAAGTCTGTATTTTGGGTAAGCTAAGCAGTAAGTACATGATATGACATTTGGGGGATGTCCTGTGCAGGGCTAAGAGCTGGACTTGATGATCCTTTCGGATCCCTTAAAACTAAGAATATTCTGTGATTCTGTGAACTGCTTGCATGGCTTTTCTCAGCAGCATTTTCTGGCTATCTATGTTCTCCATAGTGGAAGCCATTCCAGTGAGAAATTCTGAAGGTTTAGGTTTCCCATCCCTGGAAACATTCAAGGTCAGGCTGAACAGGACTTGGAGCAACCTAATCCAGTTGAAGATGTCCCTGCTCATTGCAGGGAGGTTGGACTAGATGATCTTTAAATGTCCTTTGCAACCCACACTCATTCCTCTGGCCAGTCCCATCCTGTGGGACTCATTCCCCACATCACCTCCCAACCTGTGCATGCATTCCTGGAGGAGGAACTCCTGCTCTGGTCCACAAAAGGCAAAGCAGGCCCTGGTTCTGACAAGGCCAATTTCCTTCTCTGGCCACAGCTCCCTGTGAACCGAGGGTTGCTTACAGCCCTGGTGGCTCCCAGCCAGCTAGTGGGCTGCTGCAAGCCTGGCCTTGGCAGAGCTGGCCATGAATTTCTGATCACACCCTGCTGGCTGGCAAGAGCCTTCCTGCACCAGACCAAGCCCTGGAGGGAGGCTGGGCGCTCCAGCCAGCATCTCTGCTCTGCAATGAAAAGGCCAAAAGTTGGGAAAAAACAAATAAACCAACTAGCTTAAAACAATGTGATGAACAAAGATGAGCAGCTGCAAGGAATAGGGTTGGAGCAGGAATATTGTTCCTGCCATTGGAAACATGGTACCCTATCTGCTAACTCCTTCTGCAGTTTGTTTTGTTCTGCTGACAGCAGCTGCAGCCTTAGCAGAGAAGCCTACCACCAAGGAGGAGGACAGTCAGTGGGTAAAGTAAGGCTGAGTTTAACCTAAATACCTGTGAGATTGACCATGCATCAGTTGGTTTGAAATTCAGATATTTTCTGGAGTTTTGGGTTTGAAGTTTTTTTTTAAGGAAAGAATTGCTAAGTTGAATTGCAAACATGTTTTGCAAAAGAAAGCCAAAGACTTGGAAGCTGAGAGTTGAATGCCAACATGTTGTTGTTCAAAACACATCATTCTGTTGTTCTCCATACTGGTTTATCCAGTCTGAGGTTTCATGGCTTTCTGCACCCTAGGCCAGATATCTGCTGCAGTTCTCTGAAGATGTAATTATTACACCTGGTGCCTGCAGGGCACAACTGAGTACAAAAGGGCCAAGCCTGGAAGCAGAAGAAGAAGCAAACCTCTACTTCAGACCTTTTCCCTTTTTTTTTAGGTAAACTTGTGAATGTTTTATATGGTAGAAGTAGCAAAAACTTTATCATTAGCTTCAACAGCTCTCCTCTAGTATGGGGTTTTAATCAGGAGCAAAGCAAAAAAGGCTCATGTGGGACACAAATGGTACTTTGTAAGAGTAAAACATCCTGGAAGTGAGTGAGGAAGCTGTGTCAGAGACTAAAATTACCATCTATTAGACATTTTACACAGATGAGTTGGAGGCAGGGAGATAGTAAGTGCCTTCCTACATTTCCATTTTATTCAAAATACATTTCCTTGGAAGTATTTTTTTTAATTTTGAACTGATGCTATATTCTATTGCCAAGTTGTTTTTCTTTTGAAGACAGATAAGTTACATAATCCAGTGCCAAGAAACTGTCATGCAAACCTGTAGCATACTATTATATGGATAAAACAAAGGCAAAAAAAGTAGGTCATCCTATTTCATTTGTTAAGCAGAGTCTGGGTTTGGTGGTACTAGCTCATACTGAACCCAGCAAGAGCACACTCCTGAAAGACTTGAAATGTAGAGCCTCCAGCAATACGTCCTCCTGTCAAGCAGACTTTGATGCTTTCACATTTGGTTTTTGGCATACACTGAAAAGCCAGGGTGTTAACTGAAAACACAAGTGGTCATCTGAAACAGAAGAGTGTCAGAGTCTAGGGCACTGAAGAAAGCAGAAGGTGGCTGTGACATGGAGGCAGGGACATGGAGAAGAGCATGCCTGGGCTAAGGCATTTGCTCTTCTCACCAGTGCTATGGAAGGTGTAGAAAAGTACACTGTGTACTAATGTCTTGGCTCTCAGTGAACCCTGACTAAATGACTAAAAAGAAATCCTCAGTCAGCATGTGCCTGTGTGGGCACACACGTCTGTGTGTGTGTTTGTGCGTCTGTTTGTATGTTTCCGTGCAGATATGGGAATTGTCAGGTTGGTGGTCAAATTAAAGCAATTTCTAAAAAAACTAACATGGATTGGACCAATAGATTTTCACTGTAATGTAAGCCTAATGCTAGTGTCTTTCTAATCACTAATACTAGTATGACAGCTTTTCTCTGCCAGGGGCTCATAGCAGATACTTAGGAAAAGTATAAAGGAGAGTGTGTAAAGTATAAAGTCTGTGAACTAAGCACTACTTCTCCCAGTAGACATTCCCAATTTAGTATTCTGTTGTTCAGGGACTTCCTAAGCCAAATATGAGATGTGTAATGGCTCTTCCTGTGAATTTGATCAAGTTCTCTTTACCTTTGCTTTTTCCAGGATTCTGGAGCAATTTAATCACACGTTGTGTGAAGAAGTACTTCCTTTCATTAGATGTAGATCTTTAGACCTCTAAGCCTTGCAACTGGCTGCCTTCCTCCCCACAGTTATTGCACTCAGAGAAATGGTGAACCATCCCCTAGTCAGAATTTCATAGATCTCTCATAGTCCTCCTCAGCCATCTGTTTTCTAAACCTTTTCTCCTATGGAAGAGATTCCACCTCCCCAGTGACCCTTGTCCTCCCTTTCTAACTTTTTCTGCTGTATCAGTCCATAACAAAATGCTTTTCTCTGCTTTCCAAAGGATAAATACTACCAAGATGAAGAATCTGCACACTTTATTTTTCAGTTTGCTGGTGCATATCACGCACAACTACAGTGGCACAACCATGACTTTGTATCATTTAACATCTGTTATGAAAGAACTGCAAGCATCAGGCACTATGTTAAAATGCTTGTGATTATTAAAAAAATATGTACACAAGGTATTACTAAAGTTTTCCTGGGACTGGTATGGCTGAGATGTTAATTTGAGCCTTCTTCTGCAGAGGAAGAAGGCTCAAATTAACATCATGGGCTTTTTATTTTTTTATTGGAAGACCTTTCTCAACTCCAGTTTTGCTTTGCTCTACTCCGCTCAAAGCCCCAGATCAACAGCCATTCATTTCCTCTATCAGCAGGACCAATTACAATCCTCCTTGAAGTCTACTACAATCCTCCTGAGCTATCTGGATGCACCAGGTATATAGGAGATTAAATTCCACCTCAGCATCCTTCCATCTGCTCCCTCACCAGCTGCAGACTAAACATACTTGATGAAATTTTGCTGTTGGTTGTACTTGTCTAATTGGCTATTGCTCTTCAGTGGAAGGTGGAATATAAATGAAAGGAAGTGAAATGGTGCCCAGCATCCAGTTCCTCCATCTCTTCAGCATTTTCACTGCTGCTTGAGCGCAAACTAAAAACAGAACTGGCAATGGCAAAACAGCCAAAATATCACAGGGTAGTGGGTCCTAACACTAGTTTCAAGTGTAGATGTGAGATTGAGAACAAATTGGAGACTAACTACTGGCTGCATGAGCGCACAGGCATCCTGGATTTGTAAGAAGAAGAGATGGGAATCTGTCCCTATTCAGTTCAAAACTGTTAATCTTGAGCCCTAAATATTACTGATTTAAGGGACATCTATGGTTACTTTCTGGTTCTACCTTCTTTTTCATCATGGGGCAAGACAGCAGTCTGCCTCACTCATTTTCCACTCATACCCTCCACAATTCACTGCTGATCGAATGGGCTCTCATTACCACCTCTTGCAACAACATTGCTCGTGTTTCACTCCTT